CGAAACCCGAAATCCTAAACCCTAAACCCGAAAGAGCACTTCGGCCGCTGCAGCCGCTCGCCTGGCAAGATTTTGGCATTCCCTCAGCTGACGATCGCTGGAGAGGCATGGCCTTCCGTCGGATTCTCAGGAGCTTTTCTCTTTTAATGGGTTTAGGGTTTAGGGTTTAGGGTTTAGGGTTTAGGGTTCAGCGGGTTAGGGGTTTGGGGTTAAGGGGTTTAGGGTTCAGGGTTTAGGATAACAAGTAGGTAGGACCTAGTAGGATAGGGTTTGGGGGTATACAATAGTATGGTCATAAAGGGACTATCCGGAGATATGCGGGGTTTCGCCATTCTCAACTTGTGTGTGTGTGTGTGTGTCTGTGTCTGTGTGCGCGTTCTTTGTTGTTAGGGCGGGGGCGGGTTCTTGGACTTTGGCATTGAAGGTTTGACGTATAGAGTTATGGGCGCGTGGCGCGGATGTTCCAGGGCTGGGGCTCCATGCGGGTTTCGCACGGCTGGGGTTCCGACGATAAGGGATCTTGATGTTCGGGGTCCTCACAATGACTTAGGAGCCCAATAGGTAAACTTCAAACTTTTTTGGCAAAAAATTCCTTACTAAAAGACAGTTTACACTTTTTTGGGCCAAGGTACTGGGCTTAAAGGACAAGAACCCTAAACCCCTACGGGAGGTCTGTGTAAACGGTGTCCGACTTTCGGGACTCATGCAAGGGTTGTAATTAGCCAAAAGGCCTAAACCCTAAAGCCACCACCTGACCAACGGGTCTTTTGTAGGCTTCACAGGATTGGGGCAGACTGAAAAGGGTGCAGCACCCTAAACCCTAAACCCTAAACCGAACCCTAAACTCCAAAACGGCTAGGGTCGGGGCGAAGGTGGGTCGACGAAGTCCTTCGGCCAGTAGATGCAGTGTTTAAATTATACTTTCGGACCTTAGAAATCACGCACACCTTACAACCGCTGGACGCACAAAAAAGCATGCAAACACATAAAAAAAAAGTTCTAGAAGCCCCGAACATCTTAGACGCCCGCGAGGCACTGAAACTCAAAAATCCCTAAACCTAAACCTGAACCTAAACCCTAAACCCTAAAGAACCTGCAAGACCAGGTCGCAGCCTCCGCACAGCACTGCTGGCCACAACCGGCAAGTTGATGCGTTGCTGCAGAGCAGCGGGTTCAGGGCCGTGGCATGCAAGGTGGTGGGTTTAGGGTATCGGGTTTAGGGTTTAGGGTTTAGGGTTTATGGTTTATAGAGTTTATAGGGTTTATAGGGGTTTATAGGGGTTTATAGGCTCATAGGGTTTATAGGGTTTAGGGTTTAGGGTTTAGGGGTTTAGGGTTTAGGGTTTAGGGTTCAGGGTCCAGGTGTTTAGGGTTTAGGGCTAAGTCAAGTATGTGGGGTCTTTGGTTTTGCATAGGTAGGACTTTTCCAGGACTCCAAGCTTAAAAAAAAAACTTGTAGGGATTGAAGCCACGAATTCCATGCAAGCAGAACAGGCCAGGAGGGGGGGATGTTGAGTTTTGTAAACCGCAGAAGACTTCCTCTCAAGAACCCTTCGCCGTGCAAGAAAACCCCTGTCAGCTTGTCCACGTCATGTCGCTTCGGTCATTCTTGAGTTAGCCTACAGCCTAAACCCTAAACCGTACCTAAACTGATAGAGCACTACACCCCGGCACCATCTCTCATGATCCGATTCCTCCTTGCGGGACAGATGCCGTTGTCATCCGCTGCCCTAAACCCTAAATCCTGAACCAATGTTATTTCTTAGGGTTTCTTAGTACAGCTTTATGATACTATTGTACTATATCATCCCAAAACCGGATTCAAGATTAGTTTTGAGGCCTCTACATTCATCCTGTTTTAGTCTTGCCGAGCCCTAAACCCTCTAACCCTAAACTCTAAACCCTAAACCCTTACTAAAAGGATTCTAAAAGGGATCCTAGTTTAGGGACCTAACCATATGCTTATAGGGCTCGCCTCATTGTAAGGGGTTCGTGTCCTGAAACCTAAACCCAAAGCCCTGAGCCCTAAACCCTAAACCCTATACCCTAAACCCTAAACCCTACACCCACACCCAAAACCCTAAATCCCAGACCCCAAATCCCAAACCCTGAACCTTAAACCCCAAGCCCGAAAGCTGCAAGTGTCAGGGGCCGAGCTCCGAGCTCGGAGCTCCCAGGAAGTAAAGCAAAAAGTCTGGTATGTTAGGGTTCAAGGTTCAGGGTTTACGTTTTGGCTCAAGTCACTTGGGCCACTTTGGTGGAACACTTTCTTCGACACTGGCGTTAAGTGAAGAGCAAGCGTGGGCGTAACACCCATCTTGCATTCAAAGCCGCACATCAACGGGTGGTGGGCCGGCACCGTGCTCTCGCACGGTACGCATTGTTCGGAGGAAGTGCTCCCGCGCGAGCCAGGTTTTCCCAACAGACTTGCGTGTCATAGCAGGGTCAGGGTAGCTGCTTTACAGACAATGGCAACACACCTGAAGCGTTGAGGAAAACTCTGGACGAGGCAGCAGCGCGGATGCCGCGTGATGGCTACACTGCCCCGCTTCCGGTACTTCACGACGCACCGCGCTCTCTCCCACATCGTTGGCGATTTCGATGTGTTATATGTAGATGAGTTCACCTGCTTTGACTTCGGACCCTTGTTGCTGCGTCCACTGCATGAAGGCAGTGCGCAAGCTATCTATATGACTTTGTTACAAGTTTGGGCAATCGTCCCCATCCTGATGGTTCGCTCGAATACCTGGCAGCGGCAGTCGCCCAACGATCGTGCCAAACTTGGCAGGATGCTGAAGAAGTGAGACACGGATCGCGGATCGAGGGGTGTGGAGTCGCATCTGGTGGCCCACTGCCCCTTCTTGAAACCGGTGAAAGGTTCAGGGTTTAGGGTTTAGGGTTTACGGTTGAGTTGTTTTTAGGGTCCAGGGCTTACGAGTTTTTAGGGTGTAGGGCTTAGTGCCGGATCCCAAATCCAACACCGCAAGCTTGCAGCCACATCTGGCGCTATCAGACCTCTGTAAGTCTTTACTCCCTAATCCCCAAACCCTCAACCCTAAACCCCAGACCCCGACCCCCAAACCCCAAACCCCAAACCCTAAACCCTGTCTTTACTCCCAAGCCAAATGCCAGGCTGTCTTGCTCACGCTTGGCCTTCGCCAGGCAGACTTGTTCTTGACTTGATCCTACAGCGCGTTCAAGGTTTAAGGTTTAGGGTTTAGGATTTAGGCTATTCTGTCCAACGGCTGACCAATGCATGCTAATGCAATTGCAGTAGTTGTTTCTTGAGTGAAGAATTTCGACATGTCGGGTGCACGGATCCATGCGATCACCACTTTTCCAAACCTCGCGAAACCCTAAACTGAAAAACCCTAAACCCTAAATCCCCGAAGTTCTCGAAACCCCGGACCTGTCGGCCCGAACTACTTTGCAGGCTTTGTTCTTCGTCTCCGCACCCTTCCAGACGGCCGGGCCCTCCATTTCCATGCTCTTTGTGTAATGTAGGGGCCTTGATAATTAGAATCGGGATTCGGGGTATACTATACTATAATTATAAGAAGGAATCCCCAAAAATAGCATAGGTAATTGTGTAGGCCCGTAAAGTAGCGCCGGTGCATTTATGTAGTGTCGCCCACCCGAAACCCCAAACCCTTAAACCCTAAAGTCGAAACCTGGAATCCTGGAAACCCCAAAACCCCAAATCCTGAAGCCCTGAACCATAAAACACCCTGGTATAGCCTTCCTTTAACCCCAACCCTAAACCCTNNCCCCCCCCCTCCCCCCAAAAAAAAGCTTAAACCCACATCCCGCATTTGGAATCCAACAACTGCTCTGCCCAGGGAAGCGCACCGCGGAGCCTGTCTTTGAGGGCTTTCGAGCAGGGGAAGGCAAGTTCCTTTTTGGGGTTGCTAGAGGGTGTGGTCCATTATTTAAGAGCTTCTTTTTATGGGGTATTGTCACGGTTCTAGAAGGGCTTTGCAAGGTAATGTGGGGCTAATGGGCCTTTTCTAGGGCTTTGCCAGGGGTTAAGGGTTACTCGCGAAGCCTCAATACTAATTAGTAAAAGTGTTCCGGTATAGTCCCTACTTCTTAAGGCTCAAGTGCACGAGATCCTTACCGAATCCTTACTTGGGGATCGGAATGCAACGTAGTAAATAGGTTCGGATGTGGGATCACTGCGTTCCACGCATCCTAGCCGACTCTAGCCCCCAACTTTTAAGACTGAGTTGTAGGAAGGCCGACGTGAGACGAACGACTACCGCACATGGATTTCTAAGCTTGGATTGAGATATGGCACTCCTCCGCGTTGGGTTCGCTTACGGTTTGTCTTATGAGAAGTGTGCCTCACATACTACATTCAATAAACCTCAGCCCAGGGCGCAGATCAGGTAGTCGGGGTGGATCACAAGCACGATAGTGGATTTGCGGCCCGGTGCGCGACCCCGCGACTTAGCCTAAAAACTAAACCCTAGCAGTTACCTAACACGCTCCGAATTTCGTTGACCGTAATTCCCAAAGGTATCCGACTCTCAAACCTGGCTTTCGAGCTCTTGGACCGTTGGGGCTTTTGGGATGAGGGAATTGCTTGGCTTCGGAGGCTTGAAGCTTTGGTATTTGGAGTGTAGGAAATTGAAAGCTTAGTGCCGAGTGCAGACTTCTTGTCCTGTGCGCAAGATGAAGGATGCAAGGAAGAAGTTTAACGCCAGGAATTGCTATGATTTAGGGTTAAGGATTGGGGTTTGGCGATGTTTTCCAGGGTCCTGGATTCTGGTTGAACCCCAGACCCCAAGCCGGTATCTTATGATCTCCGAACCTCGAACCTCTCCGAACCCTAAGCCCTAAAACCCTAAACCCTAAACCCTAAGCCCCTAAGCCCCTAAACCCTAAACCCTAAACCGCAGACCCTAAACCCTAAACCCTAAATCCTAAACCCTAAACCCTACCTCTCCTGCTTGCAGATCAACCTTGGCGTAGACGGCACGGTTGTCAAGTCTCGGCATATGCCCGAGCCGATGCTGGAGGCTAACGAGGCCAACGCTTGGTTTAGGGTTTAGGCTTTCGGGCTCAGGTCAAAAGGCTCTGCATCGGGCGTGCTAGAAGGTCCCTGCCTCCTAAAGACAACTTCCTTGTCTTGTCAAACCCTAAACCCCAAACCCCAAATCCTGAACCCTAAACCCTAAACCCCAAACCCTAAACCCTAAATCCTAGACCCTAAACCCTAAACCCCAAAGTCGTGCCGTGTTCCCTGGATGGACAGCGGCGGTTCGACGTTTCCGGTGAGTACCCAGGTCCCCAGCCTTCCATGTAACCCGTTAGTTGCGAGAAGAATGGCGTAATATAGGGCCTTAATGGTTACCAATACGATTTTTGGGGTTCTTTATTATAGCTATAGTATAATGGGCCTCAAAACCCTATTCTAATTATAAAGTCCCCTATGCTAGCTGAGTAACCAACCTCTAGCTTTGTGGATGACTTTGTCAGGACTGACCTGAAAGTACATGTTCGGGTCTGCAAGACTGAGGTAGCAACTGCTGGGATTGAAGATGCGGCTTCTGCGCGCAGTTTATCATTTGGAGTTTAAGGGTTCGGGGTGTGCTGTGTGCGAGTCCCCCCTCTTGGGAAGCCTATCACCCTAAACCCTAAACCCTAAACCCTAAACCCTAAACCCTAAACCCTAAACCCTAAACCCTATCCTCAAGCCCAAGCTTCATGTTTCGCAGTGGTACAGCCCGGGACTCCTCCCTTCAGGGTCCTTCAACAGGCCCGAATGGCATCGAGCCGGTTGAACAGTCTGAGCATGCCCTGCCAAACTTCAAATCAAAGTCACCCCCCTCCAAGCACAGGTCAAGGGCTCAGATTATATAAGGGCCTGAATAATTACCTGTATTATGCTGGGGTTCCCGACTATATATGTATATATATATATATGTATATATATATATATACATACACACATATATTGAGTATCATACACCCCAAACCCTATTCCAATTATTACGGAAGGGGTCCGCTCTTCTTCAGCCCGTCCAAGCCTTCCTCAAACTCATGAACGGACATACAGCCCTTCTCAGCCCATGTGCGCAGCAAACGGTCTTGTGCAGACTCCACGAGTCATTCACACCAACTTTGATTGCAGACCCTCAAAGCCCCCAACCCTAGATCCTGAGCCCAGAGCTCTGAAGGCTCTCGAAGCCGTATAGCCCGAAACCTGAAATCCCCCAAAGTCTACCCTTCGTGAGGGCTTTGGGTTTAGGCTCCCCGAAGTTAGACCGAGAGAGGCCACGACGGTTGCCATCCAAGACTGCTTGGAGGAAGGATGCTCGGTGGAGGCAGGCTTCCCGAAATGGCCTACCACGTACTTGGTGTGGTGTGTTATCTCGAGATGGCTCTTAGACTCATAGTACATCTAAGTCTGATTCTGAGCTCGAGTATGACATGAGTATGACTTGGTTTATATTGTATTATAATATAATATAACATAATTCATTTTAATATAATATAAAAAATAGAACATAATATAATATAGTATAATATAACATACTGTAATATAATATAACAGAATATAACAGAATATTATATGACATAATGGCGCAGCGATTGTCACAGAAGTCGACCCGAGCTCGGGGCCGCTGCTGGCTTTCGTTCGTTTGGATAATGTAGGGGCCTAAAGAATTACCAATACCATTTGGGGATTCGTCGGGTTTAGGGTTTAGGGTTTAGGGTCCTTATTATAATTATACGGGCTTAAAGAGCTACCAATACTATTTTGGGGTTTAGGATTCAGGGTTTAAGGTTTAGGGTTTATTTTGGTGATTCCTACGGTTTAGGGTTTAATATAGGGGCCTTTAGGGGGATTCCTTAGTATAGTTATACTATAAAGGAGTCCAAAACCCTAGTCTAATTATAAAGGCTCCGACATTAAATATGTCTGGATGCTATGGTGCACCTCTCGCGGTAGATAGTAAGAGAAGAGGCTGCTCGGATGTTCTGCTGAGTTTTCGTGGATTTGAGCCCTTTCCCTAAACCCTAAACCCTAAACCCTAAACCCTAAACCCTAAACCCTAAACCCTAAACCCTAACCCTAAGTCTGTCGGCCCGCTTTTGCCGCACTTCCGGAACTTCTGGCTGCCGTCTGCAGGCCTAGAAGCCTTGCTTCAGCCATAATATAGGGGCCTCAATAATGAGAATAGGATTTTGGGGCCCGTTATAGTATATTTATTTTAAGGACCCCCCCCCCAAAAAAAA